ATGTAGTCATACTCCACAACAAAATGGGGTGGCTGAAACAAAGAACATGCATGTGGTTGAAGTTGCTTGAGGTTTACTATTTCAAACTCATGCTCCCACCCGTTTTTGGGGTGATGTTGTTGAGACAGTTGTGTATCTCATTAACAGGTTTCCATCAAGGATCTTTAACCATCAATCTCCTCATCAACCTCCCTTTCCTGATGAACCCCCCTTTAATCTACCCCTTAGGATCTTTGGTTGTGTTTGTTTTTTCATGATACAAGTCTTTCCCAACATAAGTTTGATCCTAAATAGTTAAATGTGTATTTCTTGGTTACCCTCCAGTCCAAAAAGGTTATAGATGCCTTGATGCTCTCTTTGGCAAGAAATATGTTTCTAAAGATGTTACCTTTCTGGATTCCTCCTCTTTTTTCCAGTCATCACATCCTCTTCATGGGGACAATGCAAGTAAAGATCAGACTCCCTTTTGTCTTCTTGTTCATGTCCCTGTTCCTCCTTCCCCTCCCTCTCTTCTTTGTAACAATGGTATTTCTTTCACTCATCCTCTTATGTATCGGCCTCGGTCCTAGCAACAGTTTTTCATTAGGCGCAATAAGAGGATGGCTCCTAAAGCAGAATGCCCATTACAATCTGATCTCCCAAACTTAGGTAATCTTGAACCTCCTAATAATTTTGTTATTGATCCTAACCTTGATCTCCCTATTGCCATACGAAAAGGGAAGAGGACATGCAACAATATCATATTACTAACTATGTGTCCTACGATGCTCACTCACCCTCTTATTGTGCCTATACTTTTGCCATCTCTTATGTTTCCATCCCTTGCAATGTTACAGAGGCAATGCAGTCCCTTCACTGGAAGTAAGCTATGAACCAAGAGATGGAGAACCTAATAAAGAATCAGACTTGGGAAATTGTTCCTTGTCCTAAGGATAAGATTCCTGTTGGGTATAAGTGGATTTACACTATTAAGCACAAGGCAAATAGCTCAATTAAGAGGTACAAAGCTCGGATTGTGGCCAAAGTATATACTCAGACTTATGGCATTGATTATCCATAAATCTTTGCTCCAATTGCTAAAATGAACTCTATATGTGTGATCATGTCTCTTGTTTCCCACTACTCTTGGCCTTTATATCAAATGGATGTAAAGAATGCCTTCCTTAATGGGGACTTGCAAGAAGAAGTTTATATGGACTTACCACATAGGGTAAACTTTCCTAACAATGAAGGAAAAGTTTGCCGCTTAAAGAAGTCCTTGTATGGGCTCAAGCAATTCCCTAGAGCCTGGTTTGACAAATTCAAAAATTCTATCTTAAAGATTGGATTCTCTCAATCTCAGGAAAAGCACACCTTGTTCATAAGAAGAGTTGGTGGTAGAGTGACAATGTTGATAGTATATGTTGATGACATTGTTGTGACAGACAACGATATCACAAGTATCTCTCAATTAAAATCCTTCCTTGTTTCAAAAGTTGAGATTAAGGTTCTTGGTGATCTCTGATACTTTCTTGGTATTGAAGTTGCAAAATCCAAGAAGATAATTTTCCTGCCACAAAGGAAGTATGTCCTTGACTTGCTCCATGAAGTTAGGAAACTAGAGTTTAAGCTTGTAGAAACTCCAATTGATTCTAACCACAAGTTAAGTGTGCTACTGGAGGAGAAGTTCTTCCAAACAAAGGGATATATTAGAAATTGGTGGGTTGCCTCCTGTTTCTTTGTTTGACTAGACCTAACATATCTTACGTTGTTGAAGTGGTTAGCTAATATATGCATGAACCCAGGACATCTCATATGCAAGTAGATCATAGAATTTTAGCCTATCTAAAAGGATGCCCTAGTAAAGGGATGTTGTATTCCGATCATGGCCATCTAAAGATTGAGGCTTACACAGATGTTGATTGGGATTGAAGATAGAAGATCTACATCTAGTTATTGGCCTTAGTCAGAGGCAATGTAGTTTCATGGAGAAGTAAAAAGCAATCAGTTGTTGCTCGTTCTAGTGTTGAGGCATGAGTACAAAGCAATGGCTCATGGAATGTCGGAACTACTTTGGTTGAAGACATTATTGACTGAGATGGGCATCCAAGCAGATACCTCAATGAGACTATATTGTAACAATCAAGCAACCATAAATATTGCTCACAATCCTATTCAATATGATCGTACAAAGCATAGTGAGGTGGACAAACACTTTATTAGAGAAAAAATTGCTAGCAAAGAAATTTGCCTTCCTTTTGTAAAGTCGGAAAACCAACTAGCTTATTGCCTCACTAAAGGTGCTCACCATCCAAAGTTTGCTAAGAACCTTGTCAAGTTGAGTATGATTGACATATATGTGCAGCTTGGCGGGGAGTGTTGAGAATGTTTGGGGAAGAGTGTTTAAGCCTTTTTATCATCCTTTTGCATTTGAGCACCCAAGTATGGGCTTTCTTGTAATTTATCATTCAAACTATAAATAGCATTTTTGAGGGTGTGGACAATAAGAGACATACACCTATTCGATACATTCTTCTTCCCTTCTTGTCCTTCTTCTCCTTTCTTCTCTTCTACAAACCTTTCTTCTCTTCTACAAACCCTAGATTTACAACTATATATATAACCCAAATTTATCAAAAAAAACTATATATATAACCCAACTTGAGGGGGAGTGTTGCTAAGGGTGTTTTTCTGTATTTTTTTTATACATTATTTGTATTGTTAGTGTACCTGAGGTATAATGGTCATCTAATCTTATTTTATGGCACCCCAATATATAACACAAAGTGGGTGCCTCTAGATCACTTTTGATTGCCTCAATTCTTTGTCTTTTATCCACTATTTTCCTCTTCTTTCTCTTCCAAATCAACCTAGATGGTTGCTAGTTCTACTATTTCATCAATTCTCCTTCGGACCTTGACTTACCTATTGCTCTCAAGAAAGGGAAAAGATTTTGTATTTGGTATCCTATTTCTAACCATGCTCTTGCTAAACCTAATTGGAAGAATTCCACGGATGAGAAGATAAAAGCTTTAAAGAAGAATCGTACATGGGAATTGGTTGATCTACCTCTTTTAAAACACTTGGTGGGATGCAAATGAGTATTCATAGTCAAATGCAAGTTGTATGATTCTATGGAAAGGTATGAGACAGGGCTATTGATTAAAGAGTTCACACAAACACTACTCATAAAAAAATGTTAAACAAACACATGGCATAGACTATCAAGAAACCTTTTACCCCGGTAGCCAAGATCAACTCTATAAATGTGCTTCTCTCCATTCTTCAATAAAACCTTGGCATCTATTTCATCTTGACATAAAAGAAAAAATGTCTTTCCCCATGGAGACTTGCATAAAGAGGTTTCTATGGACATCCCACTTGGGTTCAACTTCTCAAATGCCAAAGGAAATGTGTGTGAGTTAAAGAAAGTTTTGTATGGTCTAAAACAGTCTCCAAGAGCTTGTTTAAGAGGTTTGGTTGTGCCATGAAAAGAATAGGGAATAGCCAAAGTCAAATTGATCACACTCTCTTTGTTAAATGAAGTGATGAGGGCATAGTGGTTGCCATAGTTAATGTGGATGGCATTATTGTAACAAGGGATGATGACTAGGAATAGATTCAAGAACTAAAATCTTTCCTAAGGAAGGAATTTGAGATCAAAGATTTAGGAGATCTGCTATACTTTCTTGGAATTGAAATTAGCAAATTCAAGAAAAGTATCTTTATCTCCCAAAGTACACCTAGATCTTCTCAAGGAAAATGGGATGTTGAGAACTAAGCTTATTGAGACTTCAATTAACCAAAATCATCATCCTAGGGATCAGGTTGGATATCCTTTGATGACCATAACATGTAAGAATGAGAAAATTGTTTTTTTTTCTTTTGTTTTTTTTTTTGAGAAATGAGAAAATTGATGCAAGTCCAAAACTCAAATAGAACAAGAAGAAGATCAAAATTTATGTGGGTAGAACCATAAAATAGTGAGGAAAATAAACAAAAATAAATAAATAAACAATGTTTAAGGCTAGGGATAAGACTTAGTTGTGTTATGCTTGCTACATCAATTTGTAATTTAAAAATAACCATTAATTGTTTCAAAGGGAAATGTCGATATAAAAAAGAGAAAGAGAAAGAGAAAGATTAAACACATTAATTGTAGAAATATGGATATAAAAATAGAAAGAGAAAGAATAAACCCATAAATTATTTGAAACGAAAGAGATCCCCAGCAACATTGTTGACAATTAAAGATGGCTCAAACAAAGAGCTTAAAGCACTCAAATCTTACATACATGGAAACCATAAATCTAATATGAACTAAGAAAATAAGCAGACTAAAGCATAAAGAGAATAAAAAAAAAGATAGAAATCTGTAATGACCCATATGGGGGAGTAATGTGGCTCTGTAGGATGTGTCGGCTGGAGAAGTTTTTACCCATCTTTTATAGCCTTCAAAGAATACTCTAGACCAAGAACAGATGGGATGGCCCATATCAGATGTCCTCTAGTGTTTCTCTTTTCTCTTCCTGCCTTATTTTTCATCTTGTTTGCATTTTATTAGGAATTGAAATATCTCTTTACTTCTCTCTCTCTCAGTTTTGCCTCTTTATCTCTTATTAGGAATGAAAAGTTTGTCAAAGATTACTGTTTATTTTCTTTCCTTTGGCTCAAAGAAAGCCACTACTCAGGCAACAGAAAGCTCCTTTTTACTATCTTGCAACCAATGTAAAATATTGCCCAACACCCTTTGTAGGAAAGGCATTCAAGAGCCTGATAACAGAATGGTAATGCATTTATTTGACCATTTAATTTTGTTTTTCTTGTGCTTCCACCTTTCTTTTGGAAGTTCGGAGCAATGTTCTCAATGTTAAGATCACCAGTTTGGTTTTGTGTTTTCTTTTTTTCCCCCTTGTTGATGATGTTGCAGACCAAATGCATTGTCAGATAAAATCGAAACAAATAGCATCACACCAAGAGTGCCCCAGATAAATTGGACAAGAAAAGAAAAATAAACAAACCTCTTGGGAAATGTAACCTCGACCTCAGTAACTTCCTTGGAAATGGATTTCAAGAAAATCTCAGAAGGCTTAACACGAGCTAGTAGATGCAAACCCAAACTACACCACAATCAAGTAAAATTAGTAACATTGTGTCTGTCTGCATTCGATTTTCAGAGAGAACCAACCCAAACATTACCCATATATCTTTTTCTTGAACGTTCCCTCTGGAGCCTTCTCAAGGCCAATCCAAGCTCGATTCATCTGAAAATGCATAACCAAAAAAGCAAATCCACTTCTTCTTTTTAATAAAAAAACGAAAAAGAAAAGAAAAAATTGGACAATTCTAAGTAGATGGCAAGTGGGGGCGGGGGGTAAGGAAGAACCTTATCAGAAACAAAGTCAACTACGAGCTCTGCATTTTCATTCATCGATTTTCCATTAGAAGAGATTTCCTTACAAAGATCTTTCAATGTCGGTGAAGTTCGAGAATAACCTAACTCTGAAACTGAAGTGTCGATAGATCTGCTAAAGCACCAGTTCCTTCCTTTAATCGGAAAAACAATTAATCGAGCTCTCATGTTTCCTAATTTCTGTTTTATCGCCCTAAGTCAAATTGATCTGATCAGAGGCAGAAGAATAGATCCTAAAAAACATTCCACGACATGGTGCAAACCCTAGACTCTCCGAAAAACGGTCATTCTCGCCGAAAGGATTCGATCGGGAATATAACACTAATGAAGGTAATGTCAATGATAATAACAGTAATCGTTTCAAATTTTTGGCTCAGTCTAATGAGGGATGTGTTCTGATAATTTGACGTTGAGGGGGTTTGGAAGTGATGTTGAAATTGGAAAATGAGCAACACCATGAGACAATGCGCAAACGTAGCGAGCCAATCGCTCACGTAGACCGTGGAAGACTAAACTAAACCAATTCCACGGGAGTTCAATTTCGCTCGTTCCATTAACGCCTGTTCGCTGTTCGGTAAGTTATTTACCAGGCGTGCAAGTCGGGCGGGTTGGGCCGAGTTTATGCTCAACCCAGGCCCGGCCCTAAAATTTGGGCTTTAAGGCCCAAATTCGGCCCGAGCCCGAGGTCAAGTCCAATTTTTCCAACTCGAACCTAGCCCGCCCTGTAATCTGATGCATGGTCTCGGGTCTGGGCCGGGCTTGGGTTGGTCAATGAACCCACTCTAGAATTATACATATATAAATGTATTTATGCAAATATATATACATATTTATATATATATATATATGTAAATATGTATATATATATATTGATGGAAGGTGATTTGGCCCGACCTCGCAGCACGGGTACACGTGGGCGTGACCTTGCTCAAACAGTGACTCAGCATGACAACGCAACAAGCATGAACACAACTCGGAGGGAAAGTCCCACCGAGTACAGTTCGGTAACTCGGCGGATAAACTACTCGACGAGAGCCGCCTTACCCGCACCTCCTCCCAGGGGTTAAGGTACTTCGGGACATCCCGAGTTCGGGACGTCCTGACCTCTCTTAAGGCCCGAGCTCCCCCCAATGGACCTCAGGCCACTCCCAAGCAAGAACGCACCGATACATCTCTGGACACCCCGAGGCATGGACACCTCGAGTCAGCCAGCTCGGCATAACCTGCTACAGGCAGCTCATCACTCAAGAGACTGCCCAGTTCAGGGTGATTCGCGGAAGAGCAGTTCGGTATACCACAGGAAAGCTCCCTGCTCGACCGCCGTACCCGACAAATCTATGAACAGCAGACATGTCCCTCGTCAGATAGCGTCGTGCCTATCACCTTCAGAAAGGTGTCTCTTTCCTTCTTAATCTTCTTCCTCCCCGGTTTCACTCTTGTTTGTTCCTATCTGTCACTGCAACGTCCGACAATAGCAATTCTCCCCCTTCTCCAATCAGTTACTATTTCTTTTGGATATCTCACTTGTGTCAGTGTTCCACCATAGAGCAAAGAATCTAAGTTTCCAACGACAAAGACTTCACCATCAGTATTGCAGATCTGCAGACTATATTAAATCGCACAAATTTGCAAAACGAGCAGCACGACTCAATCATATTTGAACAAAACATTACCTTCTCTATTCAGCCTCCATGCTGCAAGCTTCTTCACCAACGTAAGAAGTTTCCATCTATTCCTTCACCCATGTTGGTACCAAATGACAACAAATCGAAACTTGCACCTCTTCTAAGAGTTGCAATGGTCAATTGGGTTCGATTGGCGTTTCCACCATCTCAAAGCACAGAAGATCAATGTTCTTGTTCGTGGCATAGGGAAACTGAGTTCCCATTCAAGTTTTCTTGCCCTCTCTAGTGTTGGAACTCGAGTCCAAGAGTTTCATTGTATCTTCATTACAGAGACAACAACTGTAGGCATGGTATGGGTGGAGAGGACGTTTGGATGCAACAACTATAGCCCTCTTTGGATCTCTACTAGAGGCCGGAGGAAGAGGACGTTTCAGAGTAGAAACAGAAGCCACCCAGGAGAATTTTAGAGCAAGGAGAGTTCTATAGAGCAAAAACTAGGTTCGACAAAAGGAAGAGTTTCAAAGCAGAAACAGAGTGGGAAGCTTCGCTTTTACACCGACAACAGTGTAAAAATTCAAATCCATTCGGTTTCATTTTCCATCTACCACTGAACCGGCAACACCTTTTTCTTAAAAAAGGAGATGGGTATCACTTACCTGATACAATGGAAAATAAACTTTCCTTAACCCCCACATTATTCTTAAAAAAGAACATGGGATTCTTGGTCAATGGGAACCGAAATCCCATTGACCAATTTCCCCCCTCTCAAAATCCAAAAAAGAATGCCCCTAAGGACGATTGCGCTTCCTTTCAATAATTCTGTTGATGGACATGTAATCAATTTGAAGTTTGAAGTGGAAGAAGGGAAAAAGTTTGGTTGTTTGGGAAAAACAACCCAGTCTGTTTAGGTGCATGTTGCGCATGACACGTTAGCCCGACCGAGTGTTCTAAGTAGTGGGGCCAGTGCCATGCATGAGAAGAACCAATATCAATATGACGATGAAATATTCATAATCTATTACCAACGGTGGCCCGTTCATGGGCTGATTTTTAGTAATGTATTTTCAATAAAAAAATAAGTAATACATTAATCTACACACACACACACACACACACACACATATATATATATTAAAAGAAGGAAGTCTATAAATTTTCTCCTTTTTTGAATTTTTTATTTTTTTAATCCATGTCATTTTTTAAACTACCAATTATAAACTCTACTTTCCCCAAAAAAATCTTCCTAAAATCTCTCTTTCTCTCTCTCTCTCTCTCTCTCTCTCTCTCTTTCTCACACATACACACACACATGTTCCAATAACCTAAATAATCTAATATCCTAAAATTTCTCCTAAATAACCTTCCCCACTATCCCCAACTTTCTCCTAATTCATCTCTAATTTAATAGAGAGTTTCTCTCCTAAATTATTTATAATTCTTATTGATCTTCTCCCCCACTTTTTATCTACACCTATCTAAAGAAAGTTTGAACTAAAAAATTTAAGAATTATTTAAACATTCTAACAAAATTATATAATAACTTTAAAATATTTATTAAAAATAATAATTTATAATCAATTTAATAATATTTATATTATTAATAATTTTATATTTTTACAAAATTCATCAAAAAATTATGTACAAACAATAATAAATTATGATTTTCTGGATTATTCAATCTAAATGTTATTCAAATAATAAAAGTCTAACATTAAAAATGAAATATAATTTCAATATTTCAATAACTAAATATCTTTGATAGTAAAATATTAAAATTAATATTTTAAATCAATTAATAACATATTTAAATAGTTATTGAATAACTTTCAATTATAATAAGTAGATTAAGATTTTAAATATTTAGTTAAATAACTAAATGTTTAACATAACTAGATTTAAAATAGTTAAAATAACAAAATTGTGTATTAATAGTAATATAATTTGATGGATTATTCAATTCAATAACTAATTAATATTTTAAGATTTAAATAAATAAATAATCATGTAAATAACTAATTTCATTTATACTAGTTAATAATTAGATAAAATAACTTTCAAAAAAATGAATGTTTATTAATAATAATTTTAAAAACTTAATCTATATTTATATATACTAATTAATATTTATTATATTTTAGTAATTATTATTGTTTTTGTGATTTATAAATCTCTTTTTGTTTTGTTATTTAATAGAAAATTTTCAATAATTACTGGAGTTTAAAGTACTATTATTTAGCTTTTTAAATTTAATTTATTGTGTATTTTTGCTATAATTTTTAATAATTATTAGAGTTTAAACTATTGTTCATGGGTTGGTTTGGCTCGGTTGTAGGTTGTTTGGCCAAACAAATTGACTTGGTTAGGTTGGGGAGTTGGTCACTCGAGTTATATTGGTTTGGGTCATTTTTAGTTTGTTCGGATGGTTCAAAAGATTCAAAATTAAAAAATTAAATTTTAAGATTAAGTTTAAATTTAAAATAATTACAATGGCATTACTAAAAAATTAAATTTATGATAAAAAATATTTTAGTCTGAGAAATATGTAAGTTTCCCACTTTTCCATATTAAAAAATATATTTTGAATATAAAATATTAATATATATATAACATAGAAGGAAGGTAATAAGTTTTATGCAAGTTGAGACAATTCCAAAACACATAAGAAGCAGAGATGACGCTACTGACCCAACTTAATAAATATTTACCGATATAGCATCATCACAGAATTTCTATCTTAGTTTGTTTTTAGCAAGTTGGCGCCATCACAGAGTTTCTATCTTTGCTTGTTTTTACCAAGTTAGAGTTATAATGAGATTTCGAATTTGTATTCAATTAGGACTTTCCTTTTAAAGGGTTTTAATAGGATTCTATTATGGAGTGTTTTCTTATATTATGATTGCTCAATTAAGACTTTCTTTTTGAAGAGTTTTAGTAGGGTTTTATTATGGAGTGTTTTCATAGATTAGGAAACTTTCTTGTATGAACCATAAGGGTGTATGCCTATATAAAGAGTAGCTAGGGGAAGGCTAAGATAGTTTTTTTATATTGATTTTTTTCTTAATTTTTTAGTGAAGAATTCTTCTTCCTGGTAATTCGACTTCTGTTTTTTTCTTTGAAGCTTCTCTCAACGTGTTTTATTATGGCTCCTAAGAAGAAACCAGTAGCTCACATCATGGAGTAGGAACTCAACAACAAAACACAATAGGAGATGGCGGAGCTGAGAAGATAAGTCGAGGCACTTGCTTACGAGGTGAAATCGATGCATTCTAGGTCGAAAAGAAGGGACAGTGACTCTGACACAAGTATCTTCACACGTTCCCTTTCATCATCAAGGCAAGCAACCAGATCGGCTATAGTTGCAGGTGGTGATTAGGGACGGTGAGAAGCAGGTCTCAAGGTTGAGATTTCGGGATTCTAGGGAGGCATGACTCTAGAAGAATTCATTGATTGACTCTTCGTAGTAGAAGTCATCATTGAATTCAAGGAAGTTCTGGAAAATAAGATCGTGTCCTTAATAATCACTCGGTTTAGAGGATGAGCATTAGCATGATGGCATCGAGGGCAAGGAAAAGATTAAGACATGGGAGAAACTCAAGACAAAGATGAGGTCATAATTTCTACCCCATAATTATTTTCGTTTACTTTATCAAGAATTGCAAAATCTAAAGCAAGGAATGAATACAGTAGATGAATATACAAAAAAGTTTCATCTGTTAATGGCCTAGAATGAGTTAGCTGAAACTGAAAACCAATTGGTGATTAGGTGTATAGGTTGGTTGAGACCAAATATTCGGGACATATTAGACCTATTTGACTGTTATGATGTTTATATGGCACATCAACATGCTCTAACCATAAAAAAAACAAAGCAGTTAACCTAACCAATTGGGTCGAACCCAAATTAATGTGGCTAGACCACCCCCA